GGGTTTAGGGTTTAGGGTTTAAGGTTCGTAGCGCTTGTCCAACCAGTCGCCAGATCCCCGCTGTCGAGTCGCGCCAGCACGCAAAAGATGGTGGATGAACACCCTCAGCGCGCAGCAAGGCCGGCGTAATGTAGGGGTCGGAATAGTTACTCATAATATTCCCTTATGGCCCCTTTGTAATTCTACAAAAATGACCCTCCTAAAAACCCTGTTCTGACTGTTCAGGCCCCTATATAAACCGGCCAGAATGTCAAGCCAACCTGCTCCAGAAGTCGTTCGGCTGACAAACCCCCACCGTGGAAAGGCAGCATCGAAGCTCCAGCAGCTACTGAATCACGTGAACCTGGATCAGAGAACCTCATCTGGCTGGTTCTTAGTAGGGAATCAGGGGACGAGTTTCCCCATATCCCCCTATACACATATGCGCCTGAAATGCCAGACCATGTACGACATGATCGAAGAAAATATCCTACACGACCGCAAACGTATGAGGGCTGCCATCACTTTACGCGTGGAAGAGCAAGCCCATTCTCTTAGGCGGGACTCTTTGCTTGGGTTTGCGTTTCAAGATACCTTGGGATGAGGGTCCCGGTCTTTTCGCATTGTGTTTTTCGCATGTGTCGCTTGGCTCCACAAGGGTAGTCGCGCATCACCGCAGTCATGACAGTCATGACCGCTTTTGCAGAGCAGGCCGCTCCCGGCACGCTTAAAGTGGGGTTTCGGGTGCGGAGGAGTTGAAGGTGATTGGGGTTGAGGGTCGCCGCTCAAAGCGGTGTGTGTGGAGGATGAGCACATGATCTTGAGCTTTGCGTTCGCGTTTTCTCTTCCTGGGTGCTTGTATCACTTGCCGCCAGGTAGTGTGACCACCCAGAACAGTTGCAGCCTGACCCACTTTGATCCTGCTGTCTCGAAAGAGCATTCACAGGCCACTGCCCATGGCGTTGGAGGCTATGACGGTCGTCGGGTCCTCAAGTGGGCCAGGTGGCTTGCGGTGGCAAGAACGCCCTGAACCTCTCCGAATGGACGTGCCATGGAAAACCTTTGGACCTTCAGACTGTCACATGTTCGGGTTGGTGTGTCCACAGTCTGTGGCGTGTCTAAAGCGTCACCCCCTTGTATTGCTCCAGCAAACGTGGGAGGCGTGATGTACACACCCTATTCTTTGCACAACCGCGATGCCATGATAATCCCACCTCCGACCCCTCTGAATTATTGGACCACGTTGCAGCGAGCTTATTATGGTCCAGTGTGCTTGGGAGGATTTCTTGGTTGCTTCATGTTGCTTCGACGATGTCTGAATAGAAACCTAAACCCTAAATTCCCCAAACCCCAAACCCTGAACCCTAAACCCTACACCCTAAACCTTAAAGCCCTCGCAGAATCAAGGCTCTGAGAGAGTCGATCCTCTTTCTGCAAAGCAGGCATGTGGGGGTCGGGGGGGGGGGATCTGGTGAGTGCTGGAAGCGTGTAAAATACGATTCAGGTGGGGAGAGTGTGGTTTTTTTGCCCTACCAAGAGTTTTTTTGCAGACAAGTTGTCGTCGGAAGCAAGACGTGGACTTGCACCCTAAACCCTAAACCCTAAACCATCCTAAACCCTAAACCCTAAACCCTAAACCCTAAACCCTAAAACCCTAAAACCCTAAAACCCTAAACCCTAAACCCTAAACCCTTTAAGTCCCAAGCTCCGCAACTGGAGTTGGCAGGTCTGGCGGTCCTTTGAGCTGAAAGCTCTGAATGCGCGTTTTGCTGGCGCCACCTCTGTGAAGGAGAGCTGGCGGTTGGGGGGTTTAGGGTTTAGGGTTCAGGGTTTAGGGTTTAGGGTTTAGGGTTTAGGGATAGTATGAGAAATTTCAATGTACATTCCCCATTGGGCTTAAGTACCCTTAAACATGCCCGGCAGTCTTGGGGTAGCCCAAAACCCAAAGCCTTTGAACCAAACGCCCTGAATCCATAACCTGAAGAAGCTCAACCCTGAACCCGAAGCCCTGAACCTGAAACCCTGAGCCCCGAGCCCGAGAACCCTAGGCCCTAAACCCTAAACCCTAAACCCTAAACCCGAAACCCTGAACCCTTAAGCCCTAAACCCGAAACCCTCAACCCTTAAGCCCTAAACCCTAAACCCTAAACCCGAAGCCCTGAGCTCGACGTTTGCAGGCGAGCAGTGACAGCGACTGTGTGGAGATTGAGGCGGCTGTGGGTTACCCTTCTTCAGTGCGTTTTAGGGTTTCAGGGTTTAGGTGTTGGGTTTAGGGTTTTAGGGCTATCCAGGGAGGTTGGAGGGTTTTCAAGGTCGTTGGGGGCGTTTAGGGTCTTGGACACTGATTGGGTTGCAGAGTTATGGGAGTTCCGGGTCGGAAGGGCGTAGTTAGGTGGAAAGGTTTGAGGTTTAGGCCCCAGGGTTTTGAGTATTCGCAACACGCCAGGCTACACCCCCTTTCACCCCCTTTCTTAGAGATCATCACTGGGAGCCGTGTTGGGTTTAGCGCTTCGGGTTTAGGGTTGAGTGAGATCCTCGCCCAACTCAGAATAAGGCCGAAGCAACTCTAAAATCAGCCTTCAGGCAGGTAAGCAAGCCTGAACCTCCCTCAGCTTGGGCTTTGATCCCCTGCATAACAACAAGCAAGCCCCCAATGTAATCCTCAACGCTTCCACAAGCACCCTAAACCCTACATCCTGTGCGGTTTAGGGAGGGGATGTTAAAAACAAGTCATGAGGTGGATCTCTCCCACGTGCTGGAGAAGCCCCAAGGGTCGCTGGTCATCGAAGTGCTCGTCCCCTCTGACTACCCGCAAGCCAGGCGCCAGTTAACAAAAACCGGTGGGGCGGGGGGGGGGGGGGGTTTTGGGTTTGGGGTTTCGGGTTTGGGGTTGAGGGTTTGGGGTTTAGGGTTGAGGGTGGGTGCGCTGTGTCAGGGCCCTGGGATTTAACGCGTGCTTAGCTGCGCCCCAACTGGACTTCAAGCCACACTGAAACTCCCCAAACTCTGACCATGGGGGGAGGCCGCAGCTGAGGGCGCGTGCCCTAATTGGTGGCTTGGAGCCGCAGGTCGTGAAGGACATTGGGGACCTTTTGGGAAGGCGGTTTGAGAGGTCTAGGCATGCTCAGGGTTTTCTTTGGGACTTCGCGTTTTCGGCTTGGGGCGTTGCTGTGGCGGTGTGGTTTTGGGGGGACAATTTCTAGACAGTTCTGCAATAGGAAATGCCATAATTTTAACGCTACGCGACCTGCCTCGGCCCGGCCCAGCGGGGCAACGGGGGAGGGGGGGGGACGGGCTTCAACTGCCTCTGGTCCTGGCGAACCGTCCGCTTGCGGACCCCGGTTTCCTAGGGGGGGTACACATCTGAGGCAACAAAAGGGCCCGAAAATGGGCTTTGAAGGAGGATTTGTTCTCACAACCTATACACCTTCGGCCCGAGGCCTCGGCGGATTTTCAGAGCCGTTGATCTGCTAGCCGTGCAACTTTTTCAGTGGGGCTCGAAGCGTTCAGCATGGATCGCAGCGGCCCCTTGACCCCTTCCAACCCCTCCAACTCCCTTGCCCCTTTCCCAAAACATCCCAGAGCTCTCAAAGAATCCATTCCTAAACAAGAGTTATTCAGTTGCTTTACCTCCTAAAATTCCAGCACCCTAAGCCCGAAATACCCTAAACCCTAAACACCCTTTAAACCCTAATTGCCCTTTAAGCCCTAAATACCCTTTAAACCCTCAATGCTCTTTAAACCCTACAAATACCCTTTAATCCCTAATTGCCCTTTAAACCCTACATACCCTTTAAACCCTCAATGCTCTTTAAACCACAAAAATACCCTTTAACCCCTAAATACCCTCAACACTATGCTCTTCAGACCACTTCATCGGCCCAGGAGCTGGCCTGCTGCATGGCAGAGGGCTCGGTCAGAGTGACGACCGCTTTGATCTGCTTTCCCATAAACCCCTAAACCCCGAAACCCGAAACCCGAAACCCCAAACCCTAAACCCTAAGGCCCTAAACCCTAAACCCAAGGCCCTAGGCCCTTAGCCCTAAACCCCAAACCTTAAGCCCTAAACCCTCCCCGCCCGGGTTGAAACCGAAACCCTCTGCTCTGTGGCTTGGCTTGGGACCCCTTGATGTCCCCCCAAACCCGGGTCAAGGGTTTAGGGTTTAGGGCTTAGGGTTTAGGGGGTTGTAGGGGGTTTCGGGTTTAAGGGTTTAGGACTTAGGGACTTTAGGAGATTTTGGGTTTAGGGTTGCCCTTTTGGGGCTCGCAGGCATCCGCGATGGAGTCCGCGCTCGCGGTGAACGGTCCGGCGGTCTTCTTCTCCATCGACCAGGCTTGCTCGTCCTGCGTGTAGGGGTTTAGGGTTTAGGGTTTAGGGTTTAGGGTTTAGGGTTTAGGGTTTAGGGTTTAGGGTTTAGGGTTTAGGGTTTAGGGTTTAGGGCTCAATGTAGGAAGTAGGAAGCTGGGGTTGGAATGGCTACTACTAGCAGTCCCTTATGGTCCCAATTTAGCTATACTATAATAGCTCACCCCCCCCCCCCCCCCCCCCAAAAAAAAAAAAAGAAACTCCAATTCTTATGGCCCCTATGGTAGTCATAGGGCAAAAAGTCTCACCCGATGCCAAAGTTGCAGAACCCTCAACAGAATCAACCAGATTGGCGACTAGCTCTTTGATGCGAAACTTCGGTTTAAAGACGCGGCAGCCAAGTCAAGGGCCAGCTGCGTAGCAAGACGAGGCTTCCAATGAAAACCTCAAGCAAGGCAGCCAGGAATGGACTCCTTGGAACTTCTTGGACTTAGGACTGTTGAGGAGAACAGTGCAAACCCTAAACCCTAAACCCCAAACCCCAAACCCTAAACCCCAAACCCCAAACCCCAAACCCTAAACCCTAAACCCTAATCGGATCCCTGAGCACTCTAAGCCCGCAAAAGCTCGAGGCGGCGGCCTTCCTGAGAAAGAGCAAAGGCCTGGAATCTTCTGGGCGCTTAGGGTTTATGGTTTAGGGTTTATGGTTTAGGGTTTATGGTTTAGGGTTTAGGGTTTAGGGCGTTCGGGAACACGACATAGCGACAACAAGTCAGACTGTTGGTCGATCGGCGGTCGGGATGACGAGCTTGTGAGGCTTGCATCAGAACTTTCGGATTACGGTGATATATATATATATATATAAATATATAGATATTAGGGTTAAGCGTTCTCTTCGCCGATCGGCGTGACTAGCTTGTGAGGCTTGCAATAAGTATTTAGGGTTGCTGTTACATATGGGGCCTAGGGTTAGATATCTTTTCGCTGGGGTGACCTCCTTTCACCACATTTGGAGTGGGCGGGGGGGGGGGGGGGGGGGCTTGCTATCACATACTTGCCATACCCAAAGCAACTCGAGACCTAGGGTTATCTCTCCCACTGCTACTGAGCCCACGCAGGACGCCGCAGGTCCCCAGGTTGTGTAGTGCTCGAAGCTGGAGATTGTTCGTGAAGACTCGCTAAGCTTGGCTCGATTTGTAAGGCGCACAGGATTAGTATTTTTCAAGGACTTCCAGAAGACTTCAAGAGTCAAGGAGGCTTGTGATGATGCACAGAGAAATGCGGCCGGCACTTTCGGCACTGAACTGAGCCAAATCCACATTCGCTGCAATTCTGGTGGCTGGCAATGCAGGACGTTCATCGTGTGCGAAATGGTTCCCACAAAGGCGAGAAATGCCAGGCTGCAGAGCTGCAAGAAACCTGGGTGAGCTGCTGGCAGGAGCGCTAAGGCTTTGGCGCACGGCCGCAAGGGAGCATCAGACCAAAGCGACATCCCGCAACACCTAGTGTTCAACGTGCGTACGAGGCCACCCAATGAGAGGTGTCTCTGGACGCGCCGGAGTTGGAGGAAGTTCTCAAACACAGGAGCAGAGGGCTTGCTCCCATAGCGGGTGGAGCAAGCCGGCCCCATCCGGTGGCGGATGCGTGGAAAAAGTGCGCCGGCGCTGCTTGAAAATGGTCGAAGGCGGATTTTGCGGTTGGGAGGCTCGGTCGAAACATCAGCGCCTGCGACTGGGAGAAAGGAGGGAAGCCTTGCGTATGTTTCTGCAGAAACGATCACATCAGATCCAGCCCTTGTTTTTGTCGTGGTGTAACTGAAGACAGCTTGGGCATTGTCATGGGACTGTTGAATGCCTCGGATGTGAAAATCTGTGCTGCTGCTGCTGCTGCTGCTGCTGCTGCTGCCCCTAAACGAAAGAAACCCTCGACCCGACCGACCCTGGGCCAGCCAAAGCCGCAAACCCGAAACCCCAAGCCCTAGACCCATAGATTGAAAAACACAAGCCCAAACACATCAAGCTTCAGCCCTCAACCCTGAATCTTTAAACCCCAACGTCCCCCTGGTTCTTGAGGGACTTCGGGGCCCTGTATATACCCCTAAAAAGGATGATATAGGGTACCTCATCCCCTCATTCCCTCCGAAGACCCAAAGCCCCAACGTAGGTTTTCGGAGTCTGGGGGCTCCTCCACTCCTGGGCGCGCAGGCGCGACGCCCGTCGCGGATGCTTTGCCCGGCTCCCGGAAGGTTTTACTGGCTGGTTCTTAGTAGGGAATGAGGGAAAGAGGGGATGAGGTACCCTTATATAATCCCTGAAGGGTATATATAATTAGGGCCCTAATTCCGGTGTTCCCTACTAAGAACCAGGGGGGTTTAGGGGTTTCGGGTTCAGGGCCAACATGTCCCGAAGCTTCCGGGGCACGACAACTCGGCTACATGATTGCGTTGGGATTTTGACAGGGATGTTGCCGGCTTAGGAAAGGGTTTAGGGTTTGGGGTTTGGGGTTTATGGCTTAGGTGGGTGTGTGTGTAGGCGTCAGGGTGTGTTTCACTGATGGTTTCAAGCTGGGCAAGGTTGCCAAGATTCCCTAAAACCTGGAGAGCTGAACCGGAATCCCGACACCCTGAACACCCTAAACCCTAAACCCTAAAACCTAAACCCTAAACCCTAAACCCAAATCGCTCTTTGCTCAGGTCGAGACAGCCAAAGGAGGCAGGGAAGAGCTCGACCCAAGAATGCGGAGAGGGCTTTGGGGTTTAGGGCTTAGGGTTTCAAAATCCTAAACTTTCTGAACCCAAAGCCCTTTCGGGTTCTATAGGGTTTAGGTTCAGGGTTTAGGGTTTAAGGTATATACCCTAAAACCTGGAGCCTGGAAACCCTAAAGCCCCAAAAATCCGAAACCTTCAGCCCCTAAAGCCCTATTCGCTGGCTTCCTCGACTCTTTGCGGAGGCTGACAAGCGCCCTCGACGGCCGCAGCCTGAGAAGCTCCAAACCAGGAGGCGAAGCGTTTAGGTCCTTAACTTAATTTAGGGTTTAGGTTTTAGGGTTTAGGGTTTAGGGTTGGAGGAAACTTTACAGAAAACAGTATGAAAATAGAGAAAATTGCGAACCAATTACGTCAAAGCTATTATTATCTAGAAGGGAGCAATAGACCCTTTCTGACACACGAGTTGTTAAAGGCTTAACTCTCCTAGGCGCAAGAAAAATGCCCTGATGATCCCGATGTTTGCATTCTCATTGTTCTCTCTCTGTCTCTCTCTCTCTCTCTCTGTCTGCTTCTCTCCCTCGCTCTCTCCCTCTCTCTCTCCCTCTCTCTCTCGCCCTCTCCCTCCCTCCCTCTCCAAGGCGCCGGCGACAACGAAAGAGGGCCTCGGTACTGCCCATGTGCGCTGGGCTCTTAATGCATCTCTTTGTCCAGGAAAGTCTGCGTTATGCTGAAGCGGGGGAGCAGCAAGCAACGACAGAGGAGGGTTCAAAGAAGAGAGGGGGGCAATGCCGAAAGCCCAAACCCCAAACACCGAAACTAACAAACCCCAAACAGCAAAACCCAAAACCTAACAAAAGACCCAAACACCAAACCCAAAACCCAAAACGCCGTTCAATCGGCTTTCCGAGCCGTCTTGCCTGGATTTCCGAATGTGCCCCTATGATTTTTGCACCCGGGGACCAAAACCCGAAAGTGCACGATCAAGCTCGCAGGGTTTTGGGGATTAGGGTACACTAAACCCTAAACCCTAAACCCTCAGCCCTAAACCCTAAACCCTAAACCCTAAACCCTGCAACCCTTAGGAGCGATTCAATGCAGCCCGTAAACCTCAACCTTGCATCCAGCTTAGGAGAAGCGTCCGGCAGAGCCTCTGCCGAGCACTTCTTGCCCGAGACACGGGTAGAAGGGTTCTACGCTGCCGGGATTCGGGCGGAGCCAGGGTTTAGGGTCTAGGGTTTAGGGTTTAGGGTTCAGGGTTTAGGGTTCAACCACCCCCCCCCCCCCCCCCCCCCGCCGCTCCCGCCGCTCCGCCAAAATGAGCCCAAAACCCTAAGCCTAAAACTCCGAACTCCAAAGCCTGAGCCCTAAACTCCAAGCCCCTAGGCTCTGCTGGACCCAAAGCCCCAAACACCAGGCAACTGAGTTTGTTGGAGGCTCCGGATTGGACTCCAACAGTGCTCCTGGCACCCAACAAATTAGGGTTTAGGGTTTATGGCTTAAATGGCTTAGGGCGTAGGGCTTAGGGTTCAGGTTTTAGGGTTTAGCGTTTAGTCAGAGAACCCGATTCATCACTGATTCCACCGAGGTCCGCGCACCAAGGTTCCGACCGTTGCGGGCTTGCGGGAAGTTAAAGATGTGGGAGGGTTTAGAGTTTAGGGTTTAGAGTTAAGGTTCAGAGTTTAGGGTTCAGGGTTGAGGGGTTAAAGTTGAAAGTTGCGGGTTTGGGTTCAGGCTTAGGGTTTAGGGCTGTGCGTTTCGGGTTTATGGTGTATGGCTATCTGGCTTACCCACAAACTGCACCCCAAACCCCCAAATCAACGACCACGGAAGGTTCCACACTGAGTTTCGCATGCACAAAGTTCCCCTGCAAGGCTCCTGCTTCGGCCTCTCCATACGAAAGCCCTACCTCTCATAAAGTCTTCTTTGAAGCCCCACAAATCAAAGGTTGGAACCATGGGCCCTTGGTGTGGCCCCTTGCCCTTGTTTATCGGGAGATTGAAGTATGGGCCCTTATTATCCTGATTATTATTATTATTATTGTAATATATATATATATATATATAAACATATATAGTGTATACAAGGGTTATGCAACAAGGGACCCAAATTGAGGGCCCATACTTCGGATCTCCTAACAACGCCTTTACACTGCCCAGAAATGGCGCGCAGGCGCTGGGAGGGGGCAGCCTGAGCAACGGCGTAAGCACCCCCTCCAACATCTCGGACGCGCGGCGACCTCTGCGGGGTTTAGGGGTGCACGGAGGGTCGTTTGCTTTTTTGGTGGGAGTCTAGGGGGTTCCAGAGTTTAGGGTGCAAGCAGTGTGAGGCTTCGTGGTTTCTGAACCCAATCTTAAAACCCTGCCGGTTTCAGTATGGCTCTCTGCATCTGTAGGCAGACATTGTTTGCTTTGCATATGAGTATTTCACAGAATAGGGGGTGCACCACATATGTGCCCGCACACACCCCTTGAAACCACCAGGAACCACATTGAGGAAACGCTAAACCTAAACCCTCAACTCACCATACCCTAAACCCTAAACCCTAAACCCTAAACCCTAAACCCTAAACCCTAAACCCTAAACCCTAAACCCTAAACCCTAAACCCTAAACCCTAAACCCTAAACCTAACCCTAAACCCTAAACCCTAAACCCTAAACCCTAAACCCTAAACCCTAAACCCTAAACCCTAAACCCTAAACCCTAAACCCTAAACCCTAAACCCTAAACCCTAAACCCTAAACCCTAAACCCTAAACCCTAACCCCCACCATGAACCACAGGGGGAAGGGGGCCTTAACCCTGAACTGAAGCGTAAGCCCACCACGAACCACAGGGGGACAGGTTAAACCCTAAACGTACACCTCAACCCTAAACCCTAAACCCTAAACCCTAAACCCTAAACCCTAAACCCTAAACCCTAAACCCTAAACCCTAACCCTGAACACTAAACCCTAAACTCTGCACCATGAACCAGAAGCGCGGAATGCCATGGGGGGGTGGGGGGGGGGGGGGTGTCCGTGAATGCTGGCGTATACCCCAAACAAGTACACATCTTGTTATTGGAAGCCTAAACGGGACTCTCACATCCCCAAGCCCTAAACCCTAAACCCTAAAACCCTCAACCCCAAACCTTTTGCAGAATTCTCAGCCCCAAATCCTAGTCTCTAAACCCTAAACCCTACACGCTAAACCCTAAACCCTAAACGCTAAACCCTAAACCCTAAGCCTGTGTGCCCAGCTCATGAGCCGAGGTCGGAGTCCTCCACATCCTCATCCGACGATGGACTGGGTCTCATTTCTCTTTTGGCCGCTGTGGTTGCTTGGATTCTTGTGCGCCCTAAACCCCATACCCTAAACCCTAAACCCTAAACCCCAAACCCCAAACCCCAAACCCCAAACCCTAAACCCTAAACCCTAAACCCTAAACCCTAAACCCTAAACCCTGAACCCTCAAAAAATCCGGGGCTGATGGGCTTCAGCCGCTTGAAGCTTCAAGGTCGCCGGGGTCTGCAGTAGCATTTTTTAAAGCATATATATATATATAGCATTAAGAATATATATATATATATCTATATATATATATATAGCATTAAGAATATATATATATATATATATGTATGTATATAGCATTAAGATTATATATATATATATATATATACAAAGCATTAAGAATATATATATATATATATGTATATATATATAGCATGAAGAATATATATATATATATATATAAGGGGCGTATATGAGGGTCCCCCCCCCCCCCCCCATGTTAGAGTCATCTTAGGGGTTTAGGGTTTGGGGTTCAGGGTTTGGGGTTTAGGGTTTGGGGTTTAGGGTTTGGGGTTTAGGGTTTGGGGTTTAGGGTTTGGGGTTTAGGGTTTGGGGTTCAGGGTTCAGGGGTATATAGCTTGTTGCCTTTCAAAACAGTGCTCCTAGCACCCAACGAAGGAGGGTTTAGGGTTTAGGGTTCATGGTTAAGGCTTTGATTAGGGTACTTATAACCCCAATGAAAGGTCTACTTCTAACCTATTTACAGGACTCAAGGGGCCTATAAGTACAGTTAAAATTGGGGTGATAAGTTCTAGGTACCCTGAACCTCCAAGTACGGAGAGTTGCATGGTCCCTGAAAATGGTCCCTTACCTCCTTCAAAAGGTGTCTGAAGTATGGGCACTTGGGTTTTACAGGGTAGACAAGGAGGGTATATACGGGGTCCCCCCCATCTACGAGTCATATGAAGGGTCTAGGGTTTAGGGTTTGGGGTTCAGGGTTTAGGATTTAGGGGTATATAGCCCCCCCCCCCCCCCCATTTCAAGAGCCCGTGTGAAGGGACTCGGGGATCATGTAGCGACTGCAACGACCCTAGGGCTCCAAAAGGTGCAGAGCTTCGGCTACTCGCTGCAGAGATATGGCACCCTAAACACCACAAGCTCGATTTTTTTGGGGGGGTTTAGGGTTTAGGGTTTAGGGTTTAGGGTTTATGTTTTAGGGGGAGATTCGTGTATATTTTGGGGTGCCAAGGAGACCCAAAATTTTCAGAAGCCTCCGTATGAATTCCCACGCAACCTGGACAAGTCATGTCCAGGATCATCCTCATGTTCATCGGGTGGAGGCCATTCCGGAAATCTGGGCACCCTAAACCCCAAGCACCCAGAACCCTAAACCCTAAACACCCAAAACCCTAAACCCTAAACACCCAAAACCCAAAACCCTAAACCGTGCTACACCTCCCACCCTCAGACCCAAGGATCCGCTACCAACCCTTAGGCACTCTAACCCAAAGCCGCGGCCGGGGCCCCTCCCCAGACCTTGAAAACACCAAGTCGTCGTTTTCGGGTTTTCGGGTTGTCAGGCGAATGTTTCCGGAAACCCAGCCGTTGTTGGACGTATCTGCTAGCTTCTGTTGGATCTGTTGATGAGGACGTGAGAAGTTGAACGTGGGGTTTTCAGGACCCTTTGAGTACAGGAAGAAGGGGTTTAGGCATGAGGCTTGAGGTCCTTCAGTTTTTTGACCATACAAGGTGAAGCTCGAAGCCCGCAACGACAATGTCAATATGTGTTCTCTTCCTAGCCACATGCTGAAACACCTTGAGCTGTGACGTACCCGGTGGCTCCGATGCCCCTTACTTGAGGAGTATTCCTTGAATCATATCAGATATCAGGATCCTAAAAGTATTTGCGGGATAGTGGAGCCTCTGGGCATTAAAGCCCAAAGCCTGAATCCCTAATCATGCCTACCGGGTGCAGGGGTGATCCGTAGTCCTTAAACCCCAAACCCCAAACCCTAAACCCTAAACCCTAAAGCCTAAAGCCTAAACCCTAAACCCTAAACCCTAAGCCCTAAGCCCTAAGCCCTAAACCCCAAACCCCAAACCCCAAACCCCAACCCCCCCCACCAAAAACCCGCGACAGTTTCGGATGACGAGATGAAGAACATTGCGGCTGAGTCCGGGCCCTGATTGTCCATAGGGTTTGGGTTTTAGGGTTTAGGGTTTGGGGTTTGGGGTTTGGGGTTTAGGGTTTAGGGTGTAGGGTGGGTTTAGGGTTTAGGGTGTAGGGTGTAGGGTTTAGGGTGGGTTTAGTGTTTAGGGCTTAGGATTTAGGGTTCACGGTCTTGGGACCGGATGGGACTGCGTCAACGTTCGAAGAACGTCGGGACTGGCACTTGCCGGCCGAAAGCAAGCACGTGCAAACAAAAATAGGGTTTAGGGTTTAGGGTTTAGGTTTAGGGTTTAGGGTTTAGGGTTTAGGGTTTAGGGACCCCCAACAGTCACCCCAAATAGTGGGATTGCCCTATAAATACGGACCCCAAAAAGGGTACCCACATGTTCGTAAACCCACAGTTCATGGAACCCTAAACCCTAAACCCGAAACCCTAAACCCTAAACCCTAAACCCTAAACCCAAAACCCTAAACCCTAAACCTGCTGTTCTTGGGCTTTCGCTACAAGCTGCCAGCCGCACGTCCGGGCATCATGAGGGTTTGGGGTTTAGGGTTTACCCAGAACCCTAAACCCTAAACCCTAAACCCTGAACCCTGAACCCTGAACCCTAAACCCTAAACCGCTCGGGGCTGTTGAATCGAGGACGTTGTTGTTCCACCCTTGGTTTGGGCAGTGTCGCCAGGGATTCCCGCTTCTCAGATATTCTAAGGTGGGCTTTCGAAGAAAAACCGTGGACCCTAAACCCTAAACCCCAAAACACGAATTCGCCCTGCTGCCCGAAGCATAAACCAAGAAGTTTAGGGGTTTGCGGCTTGCCTCCTCTTTCCTTGAATCCTAAGCCGATGCCCTGAACCCTCTAGGCCTTGAACCCACAAGTATAAAGACTCAGCGTTTTTCCCTCACCCTCGGGTGTGGGGTTGTTAGGCTTCAAACCAAGCATTCTCACCGTGTCCCACCCGGTCTGGAGTGCTCACCAGCAGAGAAGCCCGCAGAGACTGCCGCCGAGTGCGTGTCCCAGTGAGCCCTGAGAATTCCGCGGAGAGTCCCACGACAGAAGCCTGCGGCGAAGTATCCGTATGTCCTTGTCCGAAAAAATGGCAGGGGTTTTTAGGAATTGTCGACTCCTTTTTCCTAGCAGCCAGTAATTATTAACAATAGTTGGTAGATGCAAAAGTGTAACATTCAGAAGAGTAACAGTAAAAAGTAGTCGTGCTCAATCATACAACTTTGACACATCTACAACACAGCAAGCTTCAACTCAACTAACTCAACAGCTGGGCCAGAAGAAGGAGCCCCTAGTCAGGATCGTCACGTGAGTAGTGCCTTACGTGGTCGAAGCAAACAACCCAAAATCACTGACACTGCTGCTACCGCCTCAAACTTTGTTGGCTCTGGGGCGGTTTCTGCATCTAGATTCCGGGGACACCGCCCTACAGTCGACTCCCTGAACTCTAAGCCCGATCAGCCCAGTCAGTCAGAGGCTGCACTTCAACGTTCGCCGCCGGCTGCTCTTCAAGCGCAACACGCATGCGCCCGCCAAGGCGTGCTGGTAGGGCCTTTAGGTCCGGAGCCCGAAGCCCCGAACCCTAAACACGAAACACCAAACACTACACACTAAGCACTGCTAAGCCATCGAGCAAGCCTAGTGGACCCGGCACCAAGCTTTCCCTCCAACAAAGACCCTTCCTGCACCTTTGTGGGGGACCCCTCCTCCACCCACCGGCGGCGCCCTGCTGGGAACCCGTAGAAGGCTCCTGAAAGGCCATGGCAGAAGTTTCGGAGGCCTTTGGGAGGTCTAAATTCCCTGAAAAGGCTGCGCTTTAACCCTTCAGTGCTTTGCAGGGCCAACAGCCAAACCCGATGTACATCGTCCAGAATGACTCGACGCGCGCCAACCCCCAAAGAAGCCCAGGCGACCTCCTTCAGGGGCTTGTGTGAGAAAGCGATCTCGGGGTTTACGAAAATAGGGGTACCCTTTTTTGGGGTCCTTATAAGAAGGGAACTTCTACTATTTGGGGGTCTATTTTAGGGTACCCCTATTTTCGTAAACCCCCATCTAGAGCCTGATGTCGCCGTTGGGACACCCTGAGCCCTAGACCCTGAAGCCTTCCCTTGGGCAACTCCGTAGCCTTTGCGAGGCATGACAAGAGCCCCTCGCTCATGTGTGAGACGTGTGGCAACGTGGAGTCAATGTGGGGGCATTTTGGGCTTCAGGGTTGAAGGTTCACGGGGTAGGGAGTCTTTGACTGACTCACTTTAATAGTGTTGGCCGGGATGAACCTGTCCAACGCCGCCGTGCGACGCCAGAGAGGGCTGGGGTTCAAAGCCCCCAATAACTTTAAACCCTGAACTCCAAGCCCCAAAGCATAACCCTAAACGAAGACAGGCAAAGCCAAAACAGGTGAATTTGACCCGCCTTCGCCGCCAACTCATGATATGCTGACCCCGCCAAACCTGGCTATCCTTCATCAGGGCGCTACGACCCTGAGGGGTTCTTCAATTCGAGGGGGGTTGCGCTTTAGGGTTTAGGGGCACCCAATCTCTACATGTTTAGGGTTTCGTGCCACGCCAGACCACCAGACCGCAAACTGGTGCTTCAAGCTCAACTCACGGGAAAACATGTGCTCACCCGAACAGCAATACGGCAAAAACATGCCCCGAGATGTGGAGGCAAACGTCTCCATGCCACACACTCGAGTTTTGAACCACGCGTTCATGGCGTTCCTGCCTTCTCTTTGCCCCGACCTCTGTCGCCGCACATGCTCCTGCTTGATTGAACACGCATCGGCTCGCGCATGTGGCCCCTCAACGGAATTGCGGAAACACCGACATCTGCAACGCCTGTAGATGAGGAAGCGTGCGGGGCACGTGAGAGTAGAGCATTGGTGCCGGCAGGACACATATCAGAAGCAGTCACGGCGAGGACTCGTGCACGAAGTTCCAGAACGAGGGCCCTTGCGGACTGCAGCAACTCTGGCCCATTTGCAGCATCCTGTCTTCGCAACCTCGCCCCAGCTCCATCATGTGTTCATGCTCAGGCTTGGTAGCAACTTCCACATCCGTTTACGTGTCATCCCTCGTGGACACGGAGCCAGGTCGTGTCGAAAAGGAGTCACCATCAACAGATTCCACTTGAAGGCCAAGCTCTTGAACCCCAGTATATTTTACGTCGTTTGTTCCCATCTTCATGTACTTCACGTGGTGCATGCTTCGATGCTGAAGACAATGCGCTCATATCCCTCACGCTCAGGGTGCGCGAAGCACTCTCGTAACCATACGGCTTGAGCTGTAGCCATTTTCCCTTTAGCCCTAAACCCTAACCCTAAACCCTAAACCCTAAACCCTGGTGTAGCTAAACTCCAACCTTCTCGGGCCGACGCAGATCCACGAAAAGCATGGATGCCGAAGCGGCCCGGCTTCAGCCGTTGTTTGAGAAGGGCGAGGAGGAGAGCCATGAGAAGCGTCTACGAAAGGTGTCGGAAGAATTGCTAAGAGTATTCCCTTCTGGTACAGCTAGACTAGAATCACCCCCGAAACCCTAGTCTGATTATTAAGGCCCCAATCTTGCTTCCTATTGCTAGTCCATGATGATCACTACTAGTCATTCTCAGAACAGCAGTCGGATTGGAATCAGAACTCTCATAAGAATGGTCAATCAGCAGCAGCATGATTGTTGCTGCTAAGACCAGCGCTATTTTCACATTGCTCACCATCTGGAATGCTTCACTTGCAATGCCATGCGTGCTGGGATTTTGATGTTGTGTGTTGTCGTGTGTTGTAGCGCTAAGCTCATGACTGCTGCTACCTCATGAAGGACGACTGGGCGCCTTCTCCTAGGGTCATAGTTGGGTAACACTTTACATGTTTAAGGGCACTTAAACCCCATAAGGAGTATAAATTTACATGATTTGATACTATCCCTAAGCCCTAAACCCAACCATGAACTAGTCTCCCTAAACTTTAGGGCTTAGGGTTTAGGGTTTAGGGTTTTAGGGTTTTAGGGTTTAGGGTTCAGGGTTTTGGGTTTAGGGTTTTTGACAAAAGATCAAACCACAGCTAGTGCGAGGCATGCACCTTTCATGTCCTGGGAGTCCCTAGACCAGAAGCCCCAACAAACCGTGGACCCTAAGTGTGGCTTAGGGTTTAGGGTTTAGGGTTTAGGGTTTAGGGTTTAGGGTTTAGGGTTTAGGGTCGGGGTTTCGGCTGACTTCTCCGTCCTCCAAGCAATCTCACAAAGTTGGGCGGCAAGATACAGTTGCATTGGCCCTCGTCCCTCCTCCCTACGGCTTAAACCCAAGACCTTGAACCTTAGACTCCCAAAACCGTGGCCTGTGCTCCCCCTGATTTTCCTCTGCTGTTTTTTTCTGGCTGGTTCCCCATACACTCCCTTAGAGGGTACATATAGGGCCCTCATTCCCTCGTTCCCTACTAAGAACCAGGGGGTTTTGCCAGAGGGACCGCCCTTACATTCAACAGGCCGGTAAGGCGGGCTGTTGCAGGTAGCTGCCGCGCTTGTCAATTACAGTTGGTGGCATGCTGCCTGCTTTCTGTGCTGGCTTCTCAGTTCTCTGCACGCCTAAGCCTCGAACCCATGCCAAACCGAATAAACTTCCCTTAAGACGTACATAATCTATAGTTCACTTGTCTAAATGAGGGTCCCTTTTGCGGTTACTTTTATAAGGCGGCCCCGAATATTCAGGGTACCCAAAAAGGGACCGTAATTTTGAGAAGTTGCATATACCATGTCGAAGCCATCAAAGATGTCGTGGTCTAGTGGGTTTCATTACGGCTGTTCTGGATGTCACACCATGCTTGTGTGGGTCAAGGCTCCCTCACATTCCCCCAAGCTGCAAAGCAGAAAATTACCCAATCAGTTCGTTTCGTGGAATTCGGGGTTCACGATTTCCTGGGTAGGCTCTTGGGATATTTCATGGTATTGCATGATTTTTCATGAGGTTTAAATGGTTTGGGCGGAGGAGGACATTCTGTCAGCCTCGCTCAGCCCATGCGAAGCCAACTCGCTAGCTATGGGTGGCCCTAAAGCTCAAGCCCGCAGAGTTTGTACCAAGGTATTTTTCACGTGTGGGCGCTCCTATTTCAACTACACGGAGCTGGAAGCTGGTGTTAGAGACGTTCCATCCTTGCGACGTAGGAGTTTTAACGATCCCGGGAATGTCGCTGCTTGGGAGCACTTGCAGTTCCCGGGTGTCGCGCGTGTTTTTTGCTCTTTCGGCCTTTCCCGGGCGCCCCTTCGAAGCGGTGCGCTCTTCGTTGCGGCGCCTTAACGCTGTGCAGATTCCTCCGTCGTGGGGGTCGTGGGGCTTGCGCCATCCCCCGCTCCTAAACTCCTAAGCCCTAAAACCCTTAAACCCAACACCCTAAAACCCTAAAGCCCGAAACCCTAAACCCCTAAAGCCCGAAACCCTAAAACCCTAAACGCCCCAAAGCCCAAAAGCAATCCCAAAACCTAAAAAATGCCAGAGCCCTAAACCCTAACCGGCCCTTAGTTTCGAGCCCCATCATCTACTCTTTGCTCAGGGACCCCTCCCCCCTCAAAAAAAGAGATAAGAATCCCTACATTGCCCTCATAAGGAAGAATCTTTAAGCTTGATTGTTTGGGGGGGGGGGGGGGGTGGGTTCTTCAGCAAATAGCCCCATTTGGGATGTTCCCCCTTATACTAACAGTCCTTAGTAGGGAGATTGCGGGGGTACTCTAATCCCCAAAAAGGACTGTTAGTACAAGGGGGAACATCCCAAAGTAATAGGCTTTGGGAGGCCACAGGCTCGCTAGAGAGCCGACCAAAATCAGCTACCCCTTAAACCCTAAACCCTAAACCCTAAACCCTAAACCCTAAACCCTAAACCCTAAACCCTAAACCCTAAACCCTAAACCCTAAACCCCAAACCCTAAACCCCCCCCCCCCCCCCCCTTGCGGGAGCCAAGCCTGGGTGCAGCGCCCGGGGCCGGATGCACGCGAATTTGCAGGGCGCCGTGTACACATTGCTGTTAGCTTCCTGCCGCACTGGCCGATGTGCCTCTTTGAGAGCGGGCATCCAACAAAAACTCCCCAAGCCCTAAACCCTAAGAAGCATGTGCAGCATTCTGAATTCGGGCCTAATTTACGGTTTAGGGTTTCTTTAGGGACTTTAGATGTTTTTTCAAAGAGAGTTCGTAGGGGACTCCATTGCGAGGTGAGGCCCTAGTCCCGATGGGTTTTTTGGCGATTTGCTCTACTGCCTCTACCTTGACGCTGCCCAAGGCAACATCAGGCCCAATCAGCCCTTCTCAAAACCAGCACTCAACCCTGAACCCAAACCCTAAATCCGAAGCAGTGGGTCTGATCTACTCGCCTCTTCCCACTGGCAGATCGGCTTTCTCGTCTGAAACATGTGGCGTTGTTTAGCTTAGGGCCCCGTTTGGGGTTCAGGTGAGGGCTTAGGGTCTTTTTTTGCAACCATTGCATAGGGGCTCCAAGCAAGGTTGCCCACGCGGGGCCCGAATTTTGGGACCATTTCCTGGCTCCGACACAAGGTGGGGCAGGAAACGATGGCTCAAGGGCTGAGTTGCCTCTCTGAAAAGGCTGCACCAGACGTTCTTGGGGATCCCTAATTCGCTGCCGCGTAGATGGGGATTCCTTATTGGGAAGTGTTCGAAGTAACCAGGTGGGCCGCAGCGAGCTCTACCCCCCCAGAGCCCTAAAAGGCAAAGGCAAGTGGGGCAAGTGGCAGAAATCGGAAAGCGGTGCAGGTGGGGCAAGTGGGGCAAGTGGAGCAGGTGGCACATACAAGTGGGGCAAGTGGAGCAAGTACTGAAAAGTGAGGCAGGAAACGCAGGCTCGAAGGCTGGGTTTACTTTCTGAAAGTAGGGATCTCTGTTAGATGCCTCATAGACTAGGTTTCGTTATTTTTTCAAAGGTTGAGCCGAACCGCACCAGCTTCCTCAACTAATCCCGCCGTTTTCATGCGCAAGGAGGTTTCCAGGAGGTTTCAAGAGAATGAAGCACGCACCATAGTACGGAAACCATTACATACAAAGATACACAAATACATAAGATCATAAAAACACACATATTTGTACACACATATATACATACATATACATACATACCTACATACATACATGCATGCGTACATACATACGTACATATATATGTATATATATATATATACACGTATGTATATGTATTTCTTTGTACATGCCCCACCCCCGCCCACTCCCCTCCCCCAGCGTTCAGGGCTCTGGAGGTAGGGCCCTGCTGCCGGAAGAGGCAGCGGCCTTTGTTTGGAGAGGTTTTTGCAGCTGCTGGGCTCAAATGGTGATAGGGTTTAGGGTTTAGGGTTTAGGGTTTAGGGTGATAGGCAGTTCTCCTACCTGTCCAAGTTGTTGCCTTGCCGGGCCGAGTCTGTGACTTTGCAGAGGGATGTAACTGAAACCCAGCTCAGCCCACTGCTACGAAGAAGCAAGATGCAAGCCAGCATTTGTGCCACAAGAAAGCTCTTTTTTGAGCATTCAGGGCTTAGGGCTTAGGGTTTAGGGTTTAGGGTTCAGGGCTTAGGGCTTAGGGAATGAGAACTTTTCGCGCGTGCCCATGGCATGCAGCGCTGCGTGCCAACTATTCGCTTAGAGGCCCCTGGGGGGTTTAGGGTTTGGGATGCAGGGGTTTAGGGTTTAGGGTTTAGGGTTTAGGGTTTAGGGTTTAGGGTTCGCGGGCTTGGGGGTTTCTGCAAGAGGGGAAGGCATCAGAAACTGAAGAGCCTTAACCTGAAACGGCGCTCTTCGAGACCCCCACCCTGGACCTCGAGCCCCCACAAACCCTTACATTCAGCCTTAGTTTAGGGTTATTAGGGTTCAGGGTCCAGGGTTTAGGGTTATTAGTGTTCAGGGTTCAGGGTTCAGGGTTTGGGGTTTAGGAGGGTTAGCCAACAATGATCCTATATTTCACGGGCAGGCGACATACCCAAACAAGCCCAATACCCCTCTTGGAATGTACCAGCCCTCCTTATGAAGGTAATATGACTCCACTTGAAGCGTATCGGGCTGTCTGCCTTGCTGGCTTGTACTTCAACCCTAAGCCCCTAAGCCCGAAATACAAAAGCCCACAAGCCCCTGAGCCAGCAAGGCCTAAGCCCGTCAAAAACTCCAATACCTCAAATTTCTGTCCTAGATTCTGGCACCTCCTTGACTTAGTTTTGATATCCCAACATGATTTAATCATACTCCTTGACCAAGGGGTGTTGGAGTCTTTACCCTTCACCCCATTGCTCCATGCCAATGCTAAAAGCCAAACCCTAAACCCTAAACCCTAAACCCTAAACCCTAAACCCTAAACCCTAAACCCTAAACCCTAAACCCTGAACCCTGAAGCCTGAACCCTAAACCCTGAACCCTGAACCCTGAAGCCTGAACCCTGAACCCTGAACCCTGAACCCTGAACCCTGAACCCTGAACCCTAGCCCTGAGCCCTGAGCCCTGAGCCCTGAGCCCTGAGCCCTGAGCCCTGAGCCCTGAGCCCTGAGCCCTGAGCCCTGAGCCCTGAGCCCTGAACCCTGAACCCTGAACCCTGCACTAAACCCTAAACCCCAAACTCCAAACTCTTTACCCTAAACCACCTTTCAGAAGGTATTGGGGTCTTTGGGCCCTCACTTCCGAAATCATAAACCCTGCACCCTAAGCCCGAAACCCGAAACCCTAAACCCCAAAACCCAAAACCCTAAACCCTAAACCCCAAATCCTAAACCCTAAATCCTAATCCCTAAACCCTAAACCCTAAACCCCAAACCCTAAACCCGAAACCCTAAACCCTAAACCCTAAAACCTAAACCCCAGGCTTCGCCGGCCTGGCCGCCGCCTCCACGGCCGCGGCGCTCCTGGCGGATCGCGGGGGCCTTGTGAAAGGGGAGGGTTTAGGGTTTAGGGTTTAGGGTTTCGGGTGTAGGGTTTAGGGTTTGGGGTGTAGGGTGTAGGGTTTAGGGCTCAGCGTCTAGGGTTTTGGGTTTAGGGCTTAGCGTTAGGGTTTAGGGTTTACGATTGGCAGGGCCAGGACATTTAAATCCCCGCCCGCCCAGAAGGTCCCACGACATTGCGAAAATGTAAATTTTCTAGTCTTCATTGTGCGGAGCCCCGTTTTGTTTTCTTAAACCCTCGCACCAAACCCATTTGCTCCCGGAAGGGTTCCCAAAAGAAAATGCAACAAGAAAAAGCCAAAACAATGAAAGAACAACAAAAACCTGAGATTCCCCTAAACCCTAAACCCTAAACCCTAAACCCTAAACCCTAAACCCTAAGCCCTAAACCCTCAACATTAGACCCCAGAAGAGTTTTTGGGAGCCGTGGAGGCTCCCAGAAGCTCCAGGAGGCTCACGGAAGCTCCCCAAGGCCAACAAGACAAAGACAAGAAAAGGGTTTAGGGTTTAGGGTTTAGGGTTTAGGGTTTAGGGTTTAGGGTTTAGGGTTTAGGGTTTAGGGTTTAGGGTTTAGGGTTTAGGGTTTAGGTTTAAGGGTTTAGGGTTTAGGGTTTAGGGTTTAGGGTTTAGGGTTTAGGGTTTAGGGTTTAGGGTTTAGGGTTTAGGGTTCAGGGTTTAGGGTTTAGGGTTTAGGGTTCGAACACCAAGAACATCGAGATCCCTGAGCCCTTTGCGTTAGAGACTTGCCTAAATCCACGAGCCCAACGCGTTATATATATATATATATATATGAGCCCGGAACCTTTAGGGTTTATTTAGCATAGAGTTTTTCTTTTCGCTTTAAATACGGAATATAAACAATTTAGTATATAAGTGTATATTTATACTTTTGTAGGAACCATAAGTTCTACTTGAGAGTCAACTTCGCCTTGTGTCTGTGGATACCATTACTGTTGATGCTTGTGTTTTAGACAAGTCGCACATCTAACCTATTTATCCGTTTGGATGCAACAAACGATCAACCCTCCACACCGGTGTTGCATATCTTAAATGCACTTGTTTTCTGCAGCTTTCTTTGTTTTCATTTGCGGCTTGTTCACTTATTAGTGTTTGTGATCTTTATAATGCTGATGCGATGGCAATAGTATGCTTACTGGTGTTCCTAGCATTGGAAGCACAACTAACATTATGAACATAATAGACTTATGTGAGTAATATTGGAAATGTTCGCAATATAAGTACTAGTCCTAGCGCGAGCTGTCAATACAAGCAAAAAGCATGGCGTGTTGTGCGGAACATTCGAAGTCGAGGATTACTTGTGCTAAGCATAAGTTTGACACATCTTATGCTCCCAATTTGACAGTTCGTGACTTCAATATCA